TAAGCAGATCCCAACTAGGCCGGAGCTTGGATGGGGCGGGGAGGTTGCTGTAAACAGTTTGGGATCCACTGAGGTTTGCTTGGTGCGGGTCCCTGTCCCCATGTTCTGTCTCTGGCATTTGGGTGTGCAGATTTCAGACACGTGGGATGTTTTCAGTTGTGTTCATTTCATGCCTTTTGGCTTCACTCATAGGACCCTGCCTGCCAGGTTGGGTTGACAACCTCCAGGTGGTGACTGGAGATCTCCTGGGGTTACAACTGATCTCCAGATGACCAAGATCTGTTCCCGTGGAGAAAATCACCACCTAGGAGGGTGGACTGTCTGGCATTATACCCCACTGAAGTCCCTCCCCTCCCCCAAACCCCACCATCTGTAGACTCTGCCCCCCAAATCTCCAGGAATTTCCCAGCCCGGAGCTGGTGACCCTACTGCCAGGACTCTTGACAACCATGGCAGCGTTCCGGCAAAAAGCTAATTTTTAGCACACTTCTTGCTCTCCGAGGAGGGTGCCAGACTGAGTGGGATGCACCCCCCCCCCAGCCTGTGGATCGATATCGATTTCCTGTCCTCATGAGAAAGGAGGGGGAGAAGAAAGGATGTCATATTTTACTAAGGGTTACGGGGCTCAAAGCAAGAGCCCTCCCCCACCTCCCTGCATTTTTTGGATGAAGGAAGGGCAGGAGCTGGGAAGGCCTCCCGCCACAACCCGGAGAGCCAGTGCAGTTCCAGAGTCTGCTTCAGCCCTTCCATCTGGGCAACTCCTCCCTGAGAAAAGCTGTCCTGGGGCTGGAGGCTGAACTTTGCTGGCGCTCACACCCGGGCACCTGAAAATATTCCCCCGAGCAAAACCAATTCAAGTAGCAGCTGGCCTCAGGAGCCCGATAGGAGGAGGGAACGCCGAAGGACTGGCCGTGGAAAGTGAAGCACGTTGGTTAGGGCTACCGGCTCCAGGTTGGGAAATACCTGGAGGTTTGGGGGTGGATGGGGCCCGAGGAGGGCGGAGTTTGGGGCATAATGCCACGGAGTCCAACTTCCAAAGCGGCCATTTTCTCCAGGTGCACTGATCTGTCACCAGGAGAGCAGTTGTAATAGCAGGTCTCCAGCCACCCCCTGGAGGCTGGCAACTCTAAAGCTGAGTGGCTTCAAGATGGCAGAATTTGGACAGGCCCAAATTCCGGTGTGTTTGGTCTTGGTCTCATTCTCACTCTCTGTCTCTCTCTTATCTCTCTATCTGCTGCAAGAAAAGGAAGGAAGCGGGTTCTAATTTCCATCAGAGGTGATGTAAGGCAGGGCCTATCATGGGCTTTTCTTAAATGCCAGGATCCAGCCGTGGTATATAGAAGCAGTAATGCAGAACCAAACACCTTCGACCATGTGCAAAGTGCTTTTCTCCCCCCCCCCCCAGGTTAAAGGTTCCCAAGCCAGAGATCCGGGAAGCCGGCTGGTGTGACTGCCAATGGCCCCCGCTCATTTTTAAGAAAACAAAGTTCTGTTTTCTTTTCACACCAGTGGAGGCCACTCGAGAAATATGTTAAAAAGTTTTTTTTAAGCCAGAAGTATAGGATGGTGTTTGTGTGTGTTTAAATAACACAACGATACAGTCTTATTTACAAGGAAGGATAATCCTAGGGTTATAAAAGGAGGCCACATCCGTTGGGATTTCCTCTGAGCCGATCCAGTGTTTGTGCTGGAAGTGGATGACGTTATGACGCTTTCTTAAAATACGGTTTGTTTTTTCACACAGGGTGTGTGTGTGTGTGTGTGTGTGTGGCGTCAGTAATGATTTTCCCAGGCAGGATACTGAACTAGTGCATTGCTGTGCTGGTCCCTGCAAAGAAGAAAACTGGTATAAATCAGGATCTAACTTTCCCCTGCCAAGAGAGTATAAGCGAATGAATTCCTAAACAGACTTACACCCTTTGAAGCCCAAAGAGTGTAGCTCTGTTTAGGGTTGCAGTGTAAGGCATAGGGTTGCCAACCTCCAGGTAACACCTGGAGATCTGCTGGAATTACAACTGTTCTCCAAACGACCAAGATCGGTTCCTCGGGAGAAAGTGGCTACTTTGGAGAGGTGGACTCTATGGTATTATACCCTGCTGAGGTCCCCCCCCCTCCCCAAACACTCCCTTCCCCAGGATCCACCCTCCAAATTTCCAGGTATTTACTAACCCAAAGCTGGGAATCCTACAGAACTTTTCCATTATAGTTAGTTTCCGTTGCTTATATCCTGTTTAAAATTATCCATTGCCTTTATAATCTGCCATCCTCCCAACCTTTGGTGGGAAGGTAACAGTGCGCCTTGGTGTTTAGTCATGCCGGCCACATGACCACGGAAACGTCTTCGGACAGCGCTGGCTCTTCGGCTTTGAAACGGAGATGAGCACCGCAACCCTAGAGTCGGATTCGACTGGCTTTCAAGCAAGGGAACCTTTACCTTTACCTTTAGAACCTTCAAAAGTGTTCCTATCATATCATTTGGGATGTTGCATTAGAATCTTCACTCCGCATATAGGTTTTTGGACTGGTGCTAAATTTCACCTATTGATTTCACATTTGGCTTCAGGTCTCGAACGCCTATTTATCATAGCCCGCCAAAATCCACCTAAAATCATTAGGACAGTTTCACATGTAAATAAATATCCACAGTTATGAACAGTATTGCGGACTTGGTCTGGAATTTTAGGAGAGGGATGTCATACTGCTCAAACTACTGAAGAAGTCACAGTCTTAGAAAGTCCTGCAGGGTTGTTCATTCATTTCCAAATGCATTAAAAAACACACACACAACTAAACGAAATGTTGTTTGTTTCCTAGTGCCTAGCTAGTTAGAACAGGGGTTCCTAACCTTTTTGGGCCTGTGAGCACCTTTGGATTTCTGACACAGTATGGTGGGCTCAGGCACAAAATGGCCAACACAAAATGACTGCCAGAAGAGGCGGAGCCAGCCACTAAATGGTTGCTGCAGCTTGCCTTCTGTCACACAGTTTGTGCAGTGGTAGCAGTTGCTGCTAAAGCAACTGTGCAGCCAATCAAATCTCCAGTTGCCATTCTGAAGCCTTGCTGGCCAAAAGCCTCCCTGGCCCCACCTGCTTTCTAAATACACTGGGCAGGCACCAGGAAAGATGTCAACGGGCGCCATGATGCTTTCTACCACCATGTTGGGGACCCCTGAGTTAGAGAGTTCATCAGGAAGATCAGAGGGATGGGGAGTCAGGAGAAGAGGAGAGATATGAAACTGACAGGGAAGCTTTCCAGTCATCAAAATCAAGCAGATCTCACAATCGAAGAGAATTGTGTTTAGGATTTTCTTTCCTGTGCGTTTCTACCATTGTTAGATCAGTAGCTTGGCAAGGGCTTTCTTGATTATATAGTTGTGGAAGCGGCTAGTTGGTTCTTAAGAAGCCTTCGTTTTTAAAGGCTGTTCGGTTGTTTGCTCATGACAGCAAATAATGTAATTTTGTAATGATTTTTTAAAAAATGTGTGTCTGGTTGAACAATAGAAATGAAAACAGACGAATGCACTAATGGCTATAATGACAGCGAGTGAAGCTTTTAAAGACGCAAATGGAAAAAAATCACTGCACGTCGCTACAATATTGCATGTACAAAGTCACACCCATGTATTTTGTTGTGCCAGTCTGGAATAACTACTGCCCACTGGCTATCTGTCCTCTCACCTAGCAGTAGCAACTTTGTGCAGTAAGGTGCTTTAATCTCAATAGGTGCAGTGGGTGCACAAACACACATCAATTCTCTCCGCAATGGTAGTGGGGATGTTCAGGTACTTTAATGTTGGAACTGAACATGGCTTGAAGGAGGACGAGTGAACAGCCCTCCGCTTGCAGGTTCCAGTCTCTGTTTCCCTGTTAGCATGTGCTAAAAGGGCAGAGAAACCCTCCTGATTGTATGCTCCTAGGGGTAACGAATCTATGCTAAGTGATTTCTGAGTACGCTCCCTGCTGTTATGTTCATGGGACCCTCGGGCCGGTCCCCTCTTCCCTCTGTCGCCATTCCTCTCTCCCTCTCTCGTTAGATATGATGAGTCCCTGGGCTGCCGCTGAAACTGGGTAACTGCTCTTAGGCACCGTAATGGCCCTTAAATGGTTTTTACGATCTGAGCAAGCAACCGTTCTCTTTAGCTTGTGAAGTCACACTCGAGGAAGAACGGCAGTTGCCTTTTGTACACCGCAGGCTCTAATTGAGGCAATAAATGGCGACCTCTAAGGGGAAAGATGGGGAGCCGATGCCCAGCTGTGGAAGGCCAGGTTGGCATTAAGCTCTGAGTGGCCAGAGGTGTCGCTTGCCATAATAGGCAGGGGTGGAGACAGCCACAGGGCAGAAGCTCGGCTCTGTTGAGGCAGAGTTAGATGTCCGGGAGTTCTAAGCTCTGTGATTGCTGGAGAGTGTACAAAACGGACAGACTGTGCAGGGAAGGCTCATTTATTTATTTATTTGAAATATTTATTAGCCGAAATTTAAAATCACAATTCCGGACTGCTGGTAAACTTAATGGAATGGGGTCCATCATCAGCTGCCTCCTAAAGACCTTCCTCGGGAGGTCGTTCAGTAACCGTGGGGCGGCCACCAAAAAGGCCCTGTCCTGTGTACCCATCAAATGAGCTGCTATGATTACTGTGACAGTCAGGAGGGGCCTCTCCTTGTGATCTTAATTCCTGGGCAGAAACAGCTGGGAGAAGACAGTCCTTTGTGCAGGGCAGAAGGTGGCAGATGGGAGGGGTGCTTCCTTTCACCTGCACACCATTTTCCCTCCGCCACCCCTGCCCACAGGTAGTTTTCCTCCTTATTTTCATCCGATACATTCCAAGAGAAAGCATAAGTATTTCAAGAACATCAGCAGACTTCCCCTGCAACTGAGTAGGAAAAAGAAAGTTTTCTGTTGTAAAAGTCGGAGGGAATGATGTTGGCTGCTGCCTAATCAGTCTTTTCTTTTCCTTTGTTCTCTGCTTCTCCTTTGGTCCCGGCTCTCTCCCATCCCGCAGAATCGGGGGCGCTTGGCTGAGAAGAGGACAATCCCCTTGCCTCCCACCAGGACCCCAAAGAAAGAGCTGCCCTCCATCTTTTCACACAGCGACGACAGTGAAGAGAGTGACAAGGTCAACGGTCACCACCCTGATGTCAAGCAAGAGGAGGATTTGCATATTAGTATCATGAAAAGAAGGTAATTTCCCCACCCTGAAGCATTAAAACTGGGTGGATCATAAATAGTGCGAAGTCAGGGATTGCAGGTTGTTTCAGCCTGACTGGATGGTTGTATATCATTGGCTGAGCTGCTGTGATGTCATGTAATGCTCATGAACATAGTCACTGCTCAGAGTCAAACTGTTGGCAATAGAATCTTCGTTGTTTCCTTTGAATTAATATGTGTGAGTGTGATATTATGAGTTTGCCCTGTGGGGGGTGTATATAATGGAACAGAACATTTCTGCCTCTCCCCTCCCCACGTACTGTACCCTTCTGATATTTCTGAAATGTTGCTCCTGGGGAATGGGACCCTCATGAGAGGCAAACTGGGGGTCTGTAGCAAGAGGAGAGAAGTGGAGGAAATTACCCCACCCCTTCTGTTAGTGGAAAATTTAATCTGGATTGAGCCACATTAAATCCCAGGATGTTAAAAGTCTAGTCAATTCAGTAATGAAGCTACAACTGAACAGATAGCTGAACAAGAGGAAAATGACCAAATACAAAATCCACACCTATCAAAATCATGGTTTAATTAGTAACATGGTTCTGCCATAACTTCATTGTTTGTGCTGTTTAGGGAATGATAGATCCATGAATTCTTGTTCTTTCATGTCGGCTGTGACATCACTTAAGATCCATAAACATTCAAACTACTTGCAGGGATGGAAGTAGTGCTGAACAGTCAGCAATAGAATGTTGACAACCAGTGCAAATCCTGTAAGGAAGGTGAAAGGCCCTTTTTGATGGTGGAAAGTCTCTCAGATAGCCCAGGCTGCTGGCGGTCTGGAATCCATCTCTCTGCCCATTGCATTTTAACCCTGCCTTTTCTCCAAGGAGGTCAGGGAAACATATGTAGTTTTTCCCCACCCCATTTTATCCTCACAACAACCCTGTGAGGTAGGTTAGGCTCATCATTAGTTGGCAGCAAGGCAGAGTGGAGGTTTGAGCCTAGGGTTGCCAGGTCTGACTCAGGAAATATCTGGGGACTTTGGAGGTGGAGCCTGGAGACTTTGGGGGGGGTGGAGCCAGGAGCCAGGATGTGAAATCACTTTTCTGATGTCATGTCCTGTGATGTCACTTCCAGGTACACCCCCCATATCCAGAAGGTTCCTGTCATTGCATGGTAGGAGCTTGTGCTTCTAACACAGTGGTTGCTCTCAACTCATTCTCCACCCAAGCCACACACACACTGGTGACATTTAGGGTTGCCAAGTGAGGCTGACAAGCTGGCAGGGGGCTTTCCAGGAGCCTCCGGGAGAGGGGAGGGAAGAAGCATGGCTGAATTCCAAAGGGAGTTCTGGCCATCACATTTCAAGGGACAGTGTTCCTTTTAAATGTCTTCCCTCCATTGGAAATATGGAGGATGGGGGCACCTTCTTTTGGTAATAGAATTGGACCTCCTGGACCAATCTTTTTGAAACTTTGGTAGGGGGGGGGGTTGAGGAGAGGCACCAGATGCTATGCTGAAAATTTGGTGATTCTACCTCAAAAAACAGCCTCCACAGAGCCCCAGGTGCCCATGGATCAATTCTCCATTATACCCTATGTTATATATAGACTGGTCCCCATAGGGTGTAATGGAGTGCCCAGAGGACATTTCTCCCCCCCCCCCACTTTCTGATAACCCTGAAGCAGGGGGAGGGCCTCCAAACCAGGGGATGCCCTGACCCCATCTGGGGATTGGCAACCCTATCTAAGCCAGAGTCTTCCTGGTCCTTGTTGTGCACTGTGTTTTCTGCATCGCGCTGGCTGGTGTTTCTTATATAGAACTTGCACCTGCAGGCAACGGGTATGCTCGTCTTACCCCCACCCCAGCTTGTCTCATTACAGCTATTCTTGGCCGTCGTCATCGTCCCGGGCTCACTAATGCTCAGTTCCTGAGACCAGCCCTATAAAAACCGAGGAGCAGAGAGCAAAAGCGTGTAATTGCTTTTCTTGTGTTTTTACGTCTGTGTTGCTTATGAGCAGATGAGCCGTTTTTCGGCTCCTTTGGTGGGTGACAACAGTAGAGATCGGGGGAATGGGGGGGGAGAGAATCAGCCCACCCACCCCCCAACCAACCAAAACACATCTATAACTTGATCCGCTGATGCTTGTGGCCATTAGCCATGGCAGCTGTTTATTGATTGAAGGGGCAAGACCAGGAAATGTGTGCACTCCTTCGCCACCCGCTGCAAAGGCATGCTAAGGGACCGGGCAGGGGGCCCCCGGGGTGTGCATTTCTTTTAGCACCCTTGCAGTGCCGGGAGACTTATCCAAATGTTTGAGACCCAGGCTTAATGTCTAGAACTCTGAATTATTGTAATGGCATGGACTAGTGAGCTGGAATGTGCAGCCTCTTTCCCCTCGCTATTAGTATTATTAGTTAGCTATTAGCAGGGCTATTTTGGGGCAGGAACCCACAGGAACCGAGTTCCGGCTGGCTCCTGAGTTGGCCACGCCCAGCAGGAGCTCATTAGCATAACAGGCCAGACCCAACAGCAGAAACTCATTTGGATTGGCTACAATTAGGGGTGTGTGGCCTAACATGCAAAGGAGTTCCTGCTACCAAAAAAGCCCTGGGTTTTGACAACAAACAAGGTAAACAGAATAAGAAGCAAAAGGTGGGTGTGGCCGAATGACCACACTTCTGGTAACATGGGGGTGTGGCCTAATATGCCAATGAGCTGTGCTATCAGGGGTGTGGCCTAATATGCTAATGAGTTCCTGCTGTTGGGTATGGCCTATTATGCCAATGAGTTCCTGCTGGGCTTTTTCTACAAAAAAAGCCCTGGCTATTAGTAGGTAGAAAGCGCCATCAGGTCACAGCCGGCTTAGGGCAACCCCATAGGGTCTTCAAGGCAAAGGATGTTCGGCACTGGCTTGCTATTGCCTTCCCTCTGCGTAGGGACCCTGGACTTCCTTGGTGGTCTCCCATCCAAGTACTAATCAGGGCTGACTCTGCTTAGCTTCTGAGAGCTGACAAGATCGGGCTAGCCTGGGCCATCTAGGAAAGGGCAGAGGTGGTTGGCCATTGCCTGGCTCCACATCACGACCTTGGTATTCATTGGAGATCTGGATTTATACCCCGCCCTTCACTCTGAGTCTCAGAGCGGCTTACAAACTCCTTTCCCCTCCCCACAACAGACACCCTGTGAGGTGGGTGGGGCTGAGAGAGAGCTCTGAGACAACTGTCCTTGAGAGAACAGCTCTGACAGAACCATGGCTTGCCCAAGGTCATCCAGCAGCTGCAAGTGGAGGAGTGGGGAATCAAACCCGGTTCTCCCAGATTAGAGTCCGAGCACTTAACCACGACGCCAAACTGGCTCTCTGGGCCGACCCGGCTTAGCTTCTGAGATCTGACAAGATGAGGCTAGCCTGGGCCATCCAGGTTAGCATGACTACCTCTGAGTTTTTTGCAGCATAGGCCCTATGCATGCTTGCTTAGAAGAAAGACCCACTGACTTGGGTGTGCATGTCTTACTCCCAAGTAAGAATGCCTGAGGTTGCAGACTTGGCCTGTTTCCTTGGAAGAGCTCAAGGCTATAACAATCCCTTGTGGCTAATCGGGATCTAAAACGCTGATGCTTATGTCTAGGAATTCAAAACATTTAGGGCCAACCCAGACATGGGAAGAGGGGGATCCACAGGAAAAAATGGAAGAGAGGAAGAGAGGAGAAGAATGCCGTATGCCGTTTTGCGTCCCCGTTGGTCAGAAAGGTGGAATATAAATGAAGTAGATTTTTGTTTGAAGTGTGTGGACGGGTGTCTGGTTTTTTTTTTTAGGGGAAATGGAGAATGCAGGTGAGGGAGGTAAAACCACCCCCCGACCTTGCTACACCGCTTTCTGTTGTGTCCAGCATATCTCCCCTATCCCCTCTCCAACTTATGGAGTGAGGTGGCCTGTCAGAAAAATATTTAAAGGAATGCAGTGCAGTGTGGTAATGGAGGGGGGGGGAGCTTACCTCCTCTCACCTTCAGGGTCCTTTATCACTACCAACCCCCCCACACACACACACCCGTTTTAGACAAGAGCGGGTGAATGCATGTGGGTTCCCTGATGACATCTAGCTGGGTCCCTAGTCATGTGCTTGCACCTAAAAATTAAATGTGGGTTCCCAAAAAGCATGTTGCCTCTTGACTTAGGAGGGATTCCCTGCTCACCACTGGTGCCTTTAACATCCAAAGAGTTTCTGTCTATCTAGGAAGGACCTTCCTTCAAATGGGGTAGCATTTGAAGCACACCCAGTACAGATCCCAGGGCAAGTGAAGCGCCCCCTAGATTTCATCAATTTCAGTGCAATAGAAAGGGAAAAGACTGGGGATCTTTGAGGTTTTGATTTTATCACTACAGGCCCCCTTGTAGCCTGGTGGTAAAAACTATGGCTGTGAAGCACATGAATTGGTATGGCTTGGTGCTTGGGAGCCAGAAGATATCAATTCATATCTTAGCTCTGCCATAATTTCATGGAGCGGGTTTACACATGCCACTATGTCTGCTTTGCTGGCCCCATTTCTTGCCCCTCAATCTGGAGTATTAAGAACATCAGAAGAGGCCTGCTGGATCAGACCGGTGAGAGTCCATCTAATCCAGCATCCTGTCTCACACAGTGGCCAACCAGTTCCTCTGAAGGGCCAACAACAGGGCATAGAGGCCGAGGCCTTCCCCTGATAAGAACCTAAGAAGAGCCCTTGTGGATCAGAGCAGTGGTCCACCTAGTCCAGCATAGCGCCTCACCGAGTGGCCAACCAGTTGTTCTGGATGGCCAACAACTGGGCATAGAGGCCTTCATAAAAACATCAGAAGAGCCGGGCTGGATTAGAGCAATAATCCATCTAGTCCAGCATTCTGTCTCACTCAGTGGCCAACCAACCAGTTCCTCTGGATGGCCAACATCAGGGCATAGAGACCGAGGCCTTCAGAAGAACATCAGAAGAGCCCTGCTGGATCAGACCAAGAGTCCATTTAGTCCAGCATCCTGTCTCACACAATGGCCA